AATCTATTCATAATCAATGTTATTGTTTATATACTTGAATTTAGGTCTGTTATTTTTCTTTTCCCTATGCCTTATGGAGTTTTGTTCCTTTCATATTCCTTTATTTATTTTTGTATTGAATCAATACTTTTAAATGTAACATTTCATTTCATTAATTAGGTTTTGCTTAATGATGAATGATTAAATGTTTTTCCCAAAACTAGGAAAAAAGCATATATGATGTCTGTTATTATAATTTCTATTCAACATTCTACTGGATGTTCTAGCTAGGACAATTTGGCAATAATGGTTAAAAATATCAAGATTACAAAGGGGAATTTAGTATTTTCTCTTTATATAAGTGATATGTTCAAGTTCTTGTTTAAAAAAATGGGTTTATATCATCCACTAAAAATATCATAACAAATGAATTCAACAAAGTTGAAGAATATAATTTTAGTACAATAGTCAAATTGTATGTCTATATACTCACAGTACACTAACTATTCAAAGATAAAACTAAGGCCACAATTACATTCAAATGAAGTCAAAAGAATATATTTTTTTGAAGAAACAGGACAAATGATGTGCAGCACCTCACACTTGCAAACTACAAGTGTGTTTGAAAAACATTAAATAAAGATTAAAATAATGGAAAAACATGTTTATTTATGTGAGGAATTATGTTGTTGAAATGATAACATTTTGTAAACTGATCTATGGATTCATCATAATTCCCAATACAATATCAGTTTACTTCTGTGTAGAAATTCACAGCCTGATTCTAAAATTCACATGAGTTTACCAGGGAACTATTATAGCTTAAATAATCCTGGAGAGGAAAACAAAAGAATAAAGTGTTAGGGTAACTCACATTTTTTTTAATTTTAAAGCTTACTACAAAATAATAATAATTATATATGTGCCACAAAGACAATCCCCTAATGACCTACTTCCTCCAGCCACGCTCTGCCTGCCTTCAGTTACTACCCAGTTAATCCATATCAGTGGATTCATTATCTGTTTGGATTAAGGATTTTATAATCCAATCCTTTCACCTCTAAATTTTCTTACATTGTCTCATACATGAGCTTTTGGAGGATACCTCATATTTATACATAGAAATATAGACTAGTGAAATAGAATTTTTGAGTTCAGAAATCAACCCATGATCTAATTTTCAACATGATGGAATAGTCCCTTCATCAAATGCTTCTGGAACAAATAGCTACATGAAATGAAGCTGGACCCACAGTTTATAGCACCTGTGAACATTAACTCAAACCATGAGTATGGAACGTGCCTGCAATCTCAGCTGTTCAGGAGGCTGAGGCAGGAGGATCATAAATTCAAGCTGGCCTGGAAAATTTAGTGACACCCTGACTCAAAATGACAAATAAAAAGGGCTTGGGATGCAGTGCAGTGGTAGAGAACTTTTGGATTTAATCCCCAGTTGCACTAAATAAATAAATAGATAAATAAACTCAAAGCCATCCAATGATTTCAATTAAAAATTTATACCATAAAATTCTTAGATGGAAAATACAGAAATTAATCATCATGAAACTTGATTTTGAAATGGTTTCTTGAAATGACACCAAGAAAAATGACCAACAAGAGAAAAATTTAATAAATTGAACATTATCATAATTGAAAACTTTTAAGCATCAAAGACTATTATTAAGGAAGCAAAAAATCTATCTATTATAAGAAAATATGTAAAAATTACAAATATGATAAGGAACTAATATTCGGAGTATATAAAGTGCTCTTACACCTTATCAATGAAAAGACAAATAGCTCAATTTCAAAAGTGGCAAAGGATTAGAACAGACATTTTTTCCCAAAGATATACTGATGGCAGACAGCACTTGCAAAGAGTAGCAATATTATTGATTATTAGGCAAATGAAAATTAAACACAGAGTGTAACACTGCCATGTTAGCATGTTTTTAATGGAAAAGAATATGTTTTAGTAAAGATATGAAAAACTACAACCCTAATATAGTGCTGGTAGAAAGTGAAATGTATGTTAGTTTCATTGCTACTAAGGTGTCATTGCTTCTATGTCCTATCACCTGACAAAGCAATGTGATATATATATACATGTATATATGTATATATATATATCATACATATATATGCCAACTCATTTATCTATCTATCATCTATCTAGATATAACCATTTGAGCCAAATAGGCTAAACGTGGCTTCAGATTAGTGCCTCCAACTCTAACCCATTACCACATGGATTATTCAAGCTTTATCCCTTTACTTGTATGCAACCTTTGAATTCAAGAGTGAAAAATGTAGCTCCCACAGTCTGCCATCCATTTACTTAATAGTTCAAATTTACTATACATGTACAATTTTAGACTTCCATTCCCATGGAGGGAAAAATAATCCACTAGAGTGCAGTGCTTCTGTGTAATTCCTTTTCCCTTAGTCTCACCAACTTCACTTAATTCCAATTACTTCAGTCAGCATCATGTTTCCACCTCCTTCCGAAAATTGCTTCATATAAACGTGATATGATTCTTGAATTCCCTGGCACTGATATTTACTATTTGTGTTTTAGAGTTCTGTGCAATAATGTTCTAGGTTTTGTTTTTGTTTTTGTTTTTGTTTTACCACATTTGTGGTAAATTGCAACAACAATCTCAGAAAACAAAATGATGTTTGAAATTTTTTTTTTCAGAATGCCTTGCCTTTTCTTTTCCATGTACTCCACAAAGGATAAATATTTAATCTTCTTATTTTAATATTAATTCTACTGAAGCCCAATTTTATGATGCCTGATTTCACAGATTATACTTTTGTTGTCACGTATCATCAACAAAAGTAAGTTCATGAAAATTTTCTCCTGTGATTTTTTTTCCTAGAAGATTTATAGTTTTACATTTAAGTCTATGAACAACTTTGAGTTTATTTCTTTAGTTTACTTTTTGTAAAATGTGTGAGGTCTTCTTCAGTGTTCTCATTCTCTCTGCCTCTTCCTTCCCTCCTTTCTTTCTTTCTTCCTTCCTTCCCTCTCTCTCTCTCTTTCTCTCTCATACAAATATGTAATCATTCCAGAGTCATTTGATGAAATGACTTTCCTTTCTGTATTGTGTTTCCTGTGCTCCTTTGTCAAGTGGCTCTATTTTTTTTATGGGTCTTTCCTTCTTTTATTCTATTTAGTTGATATATGTATCTATTTTTTCATGTATAATATTCTATCTATACTATTGTTAACTTTAGTATTTCTTGAATTTGGAGTAGCAGTCTTCTAATTGTATTTTTTCTTCCTTGGTATTATATGTCTGTTTTATATCTGTTGTCTTTTTATATAAATTTTTAATCAGAATGTTGATACATACAAACTTCCCTGTTAGAATCTTGGCTGGGAATTTAAAGATCATGGAGAAATTAATTGATATCTTAAAAACATTAAGTGTTTCAACCTATGACCATGAAATCTCTTTCTACATATTTAGGTTTACTTTGATTTCTTTTGAATGTTTTATAGATTTCTAGCATAGTTCTGTACATATTTTGTTTCACATACCTAAATATTGGCTATTTTATGCTATTATGATTTTTTTTAAAAAAAGCTTCAAATTAAAATTATAATTATTACTTAGAGAGGAGAGGAATGAGCTTTGGATATTAACTTTGTATCTTTTACTTGCTATCCTGAGAACAATACTTGTTTATTATAAAGTTCTTGTGCACTTTCTAGGATTTAAAAAAATGACTACCATATACAATTATTTCTCTTTTCTCATTTTATAGACATTTTTTCTTATTTTAATGTGCTATCAAGGAATTCCACTTGTTGTGAAATACTGGTGAAAGTACATGCTTGCCATGTTCATGATCTTAGGATAAAGAAATATAAATAGCAGTAGGGTTTTTGTGTGGATGTTTCTTTTTCTAGTCGAGAACGTTTCTCACTGTTACTAATTTATTGAGAGACTTTATTTTAAAATCACAAATAATGTTATATTTTGTCAAATGTTCTTTTTTGCATTAATTAATGATCATATGTTTTTTTCTTCCTAAGCCTGTTGTCTTATGTTGAATGTTTAATTTTCTATATATCTTTAATAAATGCCACTCTTGAGTATGATTTTTTTCATGATCTTTGTTTTTAATTATCTTAAATCTTTTGATAACATATTTTACAAATTTGTACTGATGGGTATATCTTTTTTACCTTAATATTTCCATTTAATAAGTTGGCAAAAAGCACCATTACCAACCACCTAGATGTTCCATAGTATTATTTCTGAATAGTTGTTTAAAGAGAATCCTGAATTATAACTTAGTCTGAGAAAGTAAAGAATTAAAAAGATTAAAAGTCCAACTTATTATTGTATTATGCTGATTTAAAAGCATATGAACTTATAGATCAACTATAAAATGTGAGAAAGATTTATATATTCTTTAATATTATACAGAAACCACATTAAAAGGCCTTTCCATAACGAAACAACAGTAGTTTAGATACAGGGAATTCTAATTAAATTGGCATGATCAACAAAAACATAGACACTGCTTCCTTATCTGTAACCATTGCCTTTAGTAGGCTAATGACCACAAATTAAAATACATGTGGATCATGCTTGGTTATGAGAGAGTGAAGGTATTTCCTCCATAACTAAGCATACTCACATAATCAGTTATATAAACCTAAATATAAAACCAGTTTTGAGATGTCATTCACCATTTTTGTGAAATATTGAACTTTACTAAATAAGCCCAACCATAACTTGAAAAGGAGGAAACCGTGATAGAATTTAATGAAGTGGGAGTACTAACCAAAATATTAAATTAACTACAAGTCAATTTTACTTAAGTCAGGATTGTCCAACAAAAATAATTTTTGTCAGTCATTCATCATCTGATTTCTGGTGTATCACATCAACTAAATTATGGTGCACATATAAAAGCCATGAGACATTTCTGTTTGGTAATAAATAAGGCAGTACCTATTACTCATTAGTGGCTTTTTTGAGGTAAGCTAGAAAGTCTGCCCTTTATCCCATCTTCTTAATGCCAGTGAAGATCATTTTTGTGCCAGAAAGTACTTTTTTGGGACTCTCTAAATACTCCATCAGTGTATCCTCTCCCCAGGTGGTGCCTTTGTTCTTGTTGGCATCTGTATAAGAGAATCCAACTACCTGTCCTGTCTTGGGCCCAAACAGTCCATGGAGATTTGGCTCAGTCTTGTGCTTGCCTCCCTTTTCCACAGTGTGGCACTGGGCACACTTCTGAACAAAAATCTTCTTGCCTTTCTCACCATTACCCATTTTTTATTCTGCTGCAGTTTCTATGCCTTGTGCTCACCATTCTTTTGTTCTTTCGTCACTAGTGCAAAGATGATTCCCGCTCAGAAGCCGGATGTCTCATTCTCTGTTGAGTCTAATTTTTTTATACATTGCTGGATTTGATTTGCTAATATTTTGTTGAGAATTTTTGAAGTGCTGTTTATAATAGATGTTGGTCTGTTATTTTTCTCATAATACCTTTATTTAGTTTTGTTTTTAAGTGAAGTTGCTGTGTGCTTCATGTACATTTATTTTCTGAAAGATAGTCTGGAGAATTGGTATTGTTTCTGCCCTAGATATTTCATATAATTCATTAATGAAAGCATTTGGACTCATTGCATTCTATTTTGGAAAACTGTTAGTTCAATTTTATTAATAGACATAAGGTTGTTCCGATTATCCCTTTCTACATATGTAATCTTTGTTAATTTGTCTTTCAACCAACTGTTTCATTTAATGCAATTTTCTAAATATATGAGCATACAGTTGTACACGACATGTTTCATGGCTCAGAATGTGGTCTAGCTTGGTAAATGCTTTGTCTTATCTTGAAACCAATGTGCATTCTGTTGATATTGGCTAGAGTATTCTGTAAATGGCTATTAAAGAATATATTCTCAAATGGCAATTATATCCATTTGATTGACAGTGTTTTCATTTCAGTTTTTGCCTGTTTGTCTATAAACTATTGAGAGAATGGTTTTCAAATCTTGAAATATAATAATGGATTTGGTGCTCAGTTCTTATGTATTTTGACATTTTGTTATTGGATGCATACATTTAGAATTTTTATGTTTTCTTGGAAAATTGTCAATTTTTTTTTCTGTTTAACTCTCCTCTATATCCCCAGTCAACCTTCTTATCTTAAAGTCTGGTTTCTGGAAGATAAATACAGATATTTCAGTTTCATTTTGATTAGTGTTTGTATTTTCTATTTTTCCAGGCTTCATTTTAACCTATCCATGTCTTTAAATTTACAGTGAACTTCTTGTTGACAACATATCATTGCATGCTCTTTCTTAATCCTCCTTGCCTTTTTAACTGGCATATGCAGAACTTTCACATTTAACATGATTACTAATATTGTTTAATTAATACCTACCATATTTGTGACCTTTTTTATTTTTCATATTAATGCATTTCATTCTGCCCTCATTTTCTGTCCTTGCTAGTAGTAATTAAACATTCCTCGTTTAAGATATATTTTTTATTTTATGTCACCTCAACACATTCATTTAGTGTTTTGAGTTTACTCTAGTGTTGGTAGTATACATTTTAAAATAAAAATAATCTATTTTCAAGTCATATTGCACTGTGGGAGACTGCCCTGCCCATGAGCTGAGCATCCTCCCTCAACCTTGAGTCAGGAGGTGTTTGGTGTGACATCTCATGCCACGCGCTGTGAGAAGCAAGTGGTCTCCACCTTCTCTTGGCAAAGAAGTTTGTTCTAGCCCTGGACTTTGGCGTTACCCAATGGTAATGGACAACCCTCCTTTGAAACCTTATCCCCTGCCTTATTTGCTGAAAAACATTCCATCAAAGCTTCTTTGTGTGTCCCCCTGTAAAAAATCAAGTTATTCTGGGTGGACACTCTCTTGCCTTCCAGAGTGGAAGAGGACCCTTGGGGTCACAGAGCAGTCCTGCCTCCATCTGAGAAACTCTTCGCCATGTGTTGCGTGATTTCTTCACTGTTTTCTTCTTTAATGTTGCAATCAGCTCCTTTGAACCCAGTTTATCTTGTCAGCTCAGGTTGTTGGTGAGATTGTACAAGTTCATATATAGTACCTGCTTTTAGAGTATTTCCAGTATGTTCATTCTGTTCCTCAGATACCCCTCTCATACTTCTCTGTAGTGATAACCCCAACTATTGTTACTATATTTGTTTCAATTGTTTTATTTTAGATCAGTTAAATCAGTTATTTTGCCTTCTTTTTTTTTATATTATGCTCTTACAATTTTCATGAAGAATTAAGTTTCTGATGTATATCATTGTCCTTTGGCCAGAATAATTTCTCTTAACAATTTATTTTTGGGCAGGTAAGGCCTGCTCATGATGAATTCTTCCAGTTCATGTGCCTGAAATAGTATTGATTTCTTCTTCACTTCTGAATGACAATTTTACTGAATATAAAATTCATAAGTTGAAGACTGTTTTCTTTCCACATTTAAATATTTACTTCTGTCCAGGCTTACATGATTTCAAATGATAAGACCACTGAAGTTCACATTCTTGTTTCTCTAAAGATGATGTTTTTTGTTTCTCCTCTGTCTTTGTTCAAGATACTGCTATTTAATTTTCTGCAGTTTGATTATGATATGACTAAATGTAGATTACAAGGTATTTATTCTATCATTCTCTTCATTAATTTTGTGAAGTTCTTGGTCATTATTATTTGACATATTTCTTCTGATGCCTTCCTTTTTCTCTTTCTTTTTGTACTTATGTTTTTGTTGTGCTTTTGAAATTTCCCTGCAGTTCCTGTACATTGTTTTGTTTTATTTTTTTCTTTTCTTCTCTTTTAAGTTGCTACTGACATAGCCTCAACTGCATGTAAACTTTGTGATGAGAAAAGAAGCCTAAAGAGGTTATGGTGGGGAAAATGTCCTACCTGCTCTGGGAGAAGGTTGGGGCACAGACTTTTTTCCCTGAGGATTAGGTCTTTTCTATGAAAAGCATTTAAAGCATATTTCATAATATCTTCTCTTCATCTTCTGCCAGAACTAGGAATGAACTTTTTGGATAGTCACAATGAGATGTTCATGGGACTCTTGAAGAGAAAGCCCATGAAAGTGGCCCCCAAAAGATTTTACACATTCCTCTAAGAGTTTCTTTTTCTCAAAATATTTAACCTTCAGGATCCATTAATTCCTCATATTTTCTGATCAAATATTTCTACCAGTTTGTGGTTCCAGTGTCTTCTGCTTTGGGCAAATAAATTTTGTGAGGAGATTTCCAATTTGTAAAACTAAAACCTCTTCGATTTAAGAAAGTGCATGTACCTTTGAGGAAAGGTCCTTGGGAAAGGAGAATAGAATCCTTATTCTCTGAAACCTCTGGAGGTCTTTTCTGTGCACAGTCCTATTAGCATTCTAGTCTTCTGGCCTCCCAGCAGAATCACCCAGGAAGCACCATTTAACAATAGTCTAAAACTTTTCTAGTTTGCATTGCTAAACTTTCCAAAATTCCTCCCCCAAATTCCTAAAAGCTCCAAAAGCTTCTGAAACACAGGGTCATGCTAGTCGCAGCAATGACCCCACTTCTCAATAGCAATTTCTGTTTCAGTCAGCTTTTATCTTGCTTTGTCTAAAAGAGCTGGCAAGAATGATTTTAAGGAGGAAAAGTTGATTGGGGGCTCATAGTTTCAGAGGTCTCCATCCATAAAAGTCTGGCTCCATTCTTTGGGGCTTGAGATAAAGTAGAACCCCTAGCACTTGGAGCTAGAGGTAAGGTAGAAAGAAGAGTTAGCTGAGGAAAGAAGCTGAGGAAATCACTTCAGGAAAGAGAGAGAGAATGAGAGATAGAGATAGATAGATAGATAGA